TTTGCTTTATAATGCACAGTGTTTTTGCATTATTTCAAATTTCTACTCGGTGCATACATTACTTTTTAAGTTTGAAAATCGGAGTTTTCTTTTTTGCAGAACAGAAAAGAATGTGCTTTTCAATAAATGTCTCTCATTTAATAATCCAATGTTCCAAACAGTGGTAACCTGAGACAAACACATAAAAAAGGCCTTGATTGACTAATTCCACAGTCCAAGGCAATGCTGAAAAGAAAACTCAGGATTCTGCTCTGCTAGATCCCTTCTTAATATTAAAAACTCCAACGCTGTTTCAGAGTTAAGTAATAATGCTTTTTAATTGGGTGCAGGGTAATTTTATGCATCATTTTGGCTAGGCTGTTGTGCCCAGTTGCTGGGTCAAACACTAGTCTAGATGTTGCTATGAAGGTATTTACATGTGATTAGCATTTACAATCGGTTGACCTTAACGAAAGCAGATTAACCTCCATACTGTGGTGGGCCTCATCCAATCAGTTGAAGGCCTTAGGAGTGAAAACTGAGGTTTCCCAGAGAAGGATTCTGCCTCAAGACCAACACAGACACCTTGCTGGAGTTACCAGCTCACAATCAGTCTACACTAATTCTGGACACAAGACTGCTGGAGCTTCCAGCCTGTCATCTGACCTACAGATCTGGGGCTTGCGAGTGCCAAAATTCCATGAGCCAATTCCTTAAAATAAATCTCTACATGTACATCTTACTGATCATGCTTCTCCAGGGAATCCTGAGTGAGACAAATTGTTATTTAGAGTTGTTTGCTTTTTCTACGTACCTTGTCTTGAGTTCTATACCCTACTGGTTTCCTATTAGATGTGCATGGATACTAAAAAAATGTTATATGATATTCATCTACTTATCTTTTTTTCTTTTTGGCACTTTAACTCTGTTGTGCAGCAAAATGATATTCGTGGCAATAAGAACTATGTGGTTTCATCTGCTGTCCATGACAAGCATATATGTTTAAACAGGCAGCTATGGAAAAAAAATTTTTAAGAATATTATTACTTTATGGCCTTCGTGAATCATAATGACCGAATAGACACATTCATGTTCATCCATTATAAAATAATAATTGTTTCCTATTAAAATATCATTTAGATAATCTTTAAATTCATTTTTGAGGAGAAAAAACATTTCAGACTTTGATTTGGCATCAGAATACCTCCAACTAGCAGAATTTTAAGATAATTATAAATATGAGATTTCAAAGTAGCATGTAATTCATTTATCTGGAAAAAATTACATAGTTTAACAATAATGATTCATTAACATAAATTCATGGGTCTTGTGTTAGAATTGTATCTGTGCAGTTCAAAGTCATATGTTTGTATTTACTTCAAGTCTAGAGTACTTTTAATTCAGACCAGGCTTAGAAAACAATCATGCTCAGTACACCCACACAATTTGATTTTTCAGTTTAATATTTTTAGTGTACCTTTGCATGACATGGAATATGAGAGTCTTGATTCTCAAAAGTTCTGGAGGGGAAAAAAAAAACTCTGCTTTTTAACGCAGAAGTAAAGTGGATTAAGGGTTGAGTAGTAAATGAATTCACATGGGCCGAAGGGTCGGTTCTATTCTGATCTCAACATTCGGGCATCTAACTACTCAGCCAGTCAATGCCTTGCCTGGCAGCTCTGGAGTATCCAACAGGGGGTGCTTGGTGTGTGCTGCCTTGGAAGGGGGAGCATAGTCTGCTTCCAGAGAACCCCAGGGTACAAAAAAAATACCATTAACAATGCAAAGATTTACAAGCATGATTGTTTAATATGATAAAATTAATATTCCTCTTTCCCTCACTTTAACTTTATTAATAATAATTATTTTAATTTTCCCCTCCTTTTCTCTTATATTCAATTTCATTCAGTTTCTCTGTTTAGGTTGTGATATCTCTATCCACATCTTTCTAAAAACGTCCTTCTTTTAATCATATCGTTCGCATACTCAATTTAGAAGCTGAACACGCTATGAAAGATTCTTGGATTAATTTTAATTTGTTTAGAGGAAAAGCTTGCATGTCTCCAGGCACCATTAGATCATTCACATACTCATTTGATCAAACATTGAATAATTAAATTTTTGAGTGTGTCTTATGTATGTCAGGCATTATATTAATTGCTATATACACAATGGTAAATATGGCGAACAGATTGGTACACTCATGGAGTTTCTGGTTTCCTGAGGGAAATTGCTTTAAATAACCGCAGAGATACATATATTAATTAAAATGGAGACTCTTTCTAATGAAACAGTCTAGGAGGAGGACTTAATTCAGATTGGTAGCTCAGGGAACATTGTTTTGAAGAAGTGTTTCTCATCTGAGAGCTGAGGATGAACAGGAGTTAGCCAAACCAAGAGAGGGAGATGAGCATTCTAGACAAAAACAGAGGCATAAAGAAAGAAGAGCTTGGTGTGTCTGAGGACCTAAGAGACCAGAGACTATGGTGTAATGAGCAGAGAGAGAGAGAGACAGAGAAGGAGTTTCCTGGAAATGAGGCTGGAGGGAAGCAAGGGTCTGATTATAGAGAACTTTGTAGGCCGAGTTAAGGATTTTAGATGGTATCCTAAATTCAACAAGATGCCTTTGACTGGTTAAGGATTTGAGTAAAATAATAAAATTAACATTTTAGAAAAATCAGTTTGACTTCAGTTTGAAAAATGGATTAGATAGCACAGGAGTGGAAGCAGGGAGTCCCGTTAGGGATTTGTCACAATAGGCTAGACGAGAGTTCATTGTTGTCATGACTGTAGGGTCCTGTAATCCCTGTGCCTAATACATAGTAGGCGCTCGGTAAAATACACTGAATTAATGGATTAACAAAGGAATAAGTTTTGCTGGCCTGAAATTCTATTGGGCTATTTTCGTGAGTTCATTATGAATACCAAAGTCTTATAACTATGTGTCTTAGGCTGGGTTCTCTAGAGAAGTAAAACCAGTAAAGCATATAAATACATATATATAAAGAGATTTATATCAAGGAAATGGCTCATGTGATTGTAGCGTCTGGAACGTCCCAAGTCCGTGGATCAGGATAGAGGCTTCTCAATTTCCCTTGTAGGCCATGTACACCAAGAAATGAAGAAGTGTAGTGTTGGATCATTTGTTCCTTTCAGGTGTCATTGGTTGCACTTCTATTATGTTTATATATGAGGACAAATGGAATATGGTTAATTACAATGTTTTCAGCAATAATAAACAGTTGTTGAAACCAGTTCCTCTATTATTTGTTATTGTAACCTAAATTATTAGATTTTCTGACAAACAGATGGTAAGCTATTACTAAAACAAAAGTGAGTAATATAAGGATATACCGGAGCCCTGGTGGTGAAGTGGCTAAAGAGCTTGGCTGCAGTTCAAATTCACCAGCCACAACTTGGAAGCCCTTTGGGGGCAGTTCTGCTCTGTCTTATAGGGTCGCTATGAATTGGAATCAACTCGACGGCTATGATTTTTTTTATAAGGATATATTAGAGTCATCTGGAAAGCAACTGTAAGCAGCATTCATCCTGAAGTAGCCTTGTTCTAGAGAAAAATGAAATATTTAACTTCAATCATTTTGCTTTTTATCATTTAAAATAAAAATTATTGAACTTTATATTTTGGTGGAAATTGGTACATAATTTTGAGTTAGCAAGTTTTAATTCCATTTTGTCTTGTTTGAGCCCCATGGTATAGGAGAAATACATATATTTGCTCACATCTATGCAGGAAGTATTATGAGCATGGAGTACAGACAGGAAGTATGTACACTTGAAAATTAGAGCATGGTGGCCATGGAGTCCTAGGATTGGGATTAATTAATGAAAATTTTGTTAATGAAAATTTTGTTAATGAAAAGGACATGCATATTAGTTTAATTAATTAGCTAATTATTAATGGCTTAACAAATAAGAACTAAATAGATCCAAAAGTGATGCTTTGGATATTAGTTATGAGCTCATTCTTATCATGTTGCTGATGGAATCAGAACAAGAATATCAGGTCTACTGCTAATAGATGTGTGAATCTGTGAAGATTACAAGTATCTCGGTTGTGAGTGTCTAGATCTGTAGAGTGATATTGATAGCCTTGCTGTAAGATGTGATATTCTAGGTTCTTTTTATTAATATACAGAATGGTATGGACCTCACAGTCAACATCAAAAACAAGTATTAGACTAAAGGAGAACACAATAGCTGCAGTCAGACTTACAATCCTATAAAGAGATACAGAGAAAAAGAAAACAAAAAGTTGTGTTAAACACAAAAATCATGACTGCAGGATTATAGCCAACATTTTCTGGTTTCCCAAGATGGGCCAATCAGAGAGCCTATGAGAGTAGAAGAGTTGAATCAACAACTCAGGCTTCTGCCATAACCCAACTGATAGACTCCAACACCAAAATACTCTTGCCATCCTCCTCTTCATTGTACCTGGCTCACGGGAGATAGTCAGCTGATACACTGATTGAATACATAACAAAACACACCATCTTCCCTACAGCTTACTGGTATTTGACTCTTCTTTGAAGGTGAAAAATACATAATTTAAAAATTGTTACGACATATGATAAAATATACTCAGATTTGTCATAGATTTAGTACAAATATAAAGGACATATGATCGCTGCTGCTGAGAACTGATATGGGAAGTGCATGAGATTTCAGAATGATAGAATAGGTGGTGCCATGGACAGGGGAGAGGAACGGGCGCATAAAAGGGAGGTATTAGCGTACATAACAAACAAAAACCAAACCCATTGCCATGGAATCAATTCCAACTCATAGCAACACTATAGGACAGAGTAGAACTTCCCCATAGGGTTTCCAAGGCTGTAATCTTTAGGGAAGCAGACGGCCACATCTTTCTCCCTTCTAGAGCAGCTTGTGGGTTCAAACTGCCAATCTTTTGGTTAGCAGCTGAGGACTTGAACCACTGTGTCCCCAGGGCTTCTATTAGTGTTCATAGTAATGTGATTATATTTCCGACCTTTTCTTCCAGTTTAGCTTTGAAAACAAGTTTTAAAAAATGAAAAAGCACAATATAAACGTAAGGTAAATGTAAATAGATACATATACATAGAGGTCATCAAAACTATTCATTGGGTCACTGACCAATCAAATCAGATGCTGTCCACTATGCCATTGTGGTGTGTATTTGCCAAATAACAATCATGCATTTGGGATGCTCCAGTTAACGACTAGATGGTCCTTGATAGAATCCTGATCAATGGGAAGACTACTCATATAAAATGCATTTCCATCTTCTACTGGTCATGTATGAAAAGGTCATCTTGTTCTCTCGAGACCGTTTCCCTGCCAGATGAATAAGAAATAGATGTCATGAATAACCAAGAATGAAAGCACTTAGGAGTATATCTGTATATTATTAGTCACTCATTCATTATGTATGAACTAAAAATGCATTTTGAAATAATACACATGAAAATAATGGGGCCCCGAAATGGGGAATTTGAGTAAGAATATGAAGTGTCATTTATCATAGCTTGATGGTAAAATCAATCAATTCCTAATGGAATTATATTTTTTGGAAGCCAATAGTGACAGGCTGAAAGGTTTTTTGTTTTTTTTTTTTAAATTTTCAAGTAAAATTTAAAAATTTGCAAAGTCTAACCAACTGATCTGCCTTTGAGGTAGGGAGGGGGTGAGGTGAGGATGTTAGTCTTTCTGTTTGTTCCCTGAAGTACTGTTTCCTAGACAGCATTGTGTGCATCAAGGCCTACAGTAGGTTGGAGTCCCATTAGACTTTGCTCAGAATCACAGAGACTGCTCATCCAGACAGCTGTTCACCAAATCCTGGGAGGTTGCAAGGCAAGTGCTCTTACAGCAGGCCTAAATCCTCCCTGAACTCTTGGTCAGATCCCACAGAGCACTGGATGCTAATGGTTAATGAGAACGATAGGAAAGAAAGCAACGAAATGAGAAAAACAAGACGTCACACATTGGGCTCCATTCCCTTCATTCTCTGACCATTTACTGTAGCTTTGTTCTCAGGAATTAATTTACTTAATCGGGAGTGACTTGCTTGCCAACTTCATGCTCCATTCTCCAAAGACTTGTCTTTAAGCTTGTTCTTAAATACGTAATGCCTGAGGTTGGAAGGCCAAGTAAAGAACATGCTGTCTTGGCTTGGTCTTTGACTTCCTGCTTTATATAGGCAATTTGATACCCATAGTTAAGCCTTCAAAAACTCTTACTTTCGCACATGTTAAGCTTTGCCTTTAACTCAAATGTAAGATGAAAAGCTCAGTCAATGAAATTAATACCTTTGACAGTCCTGTATATGTGAGGGTTTGCGCCTGTGAGAATGCTTGTCTTAGGCTAGTTTCTCTGGACCTTCTAAATCGTGACTGCAGTAGTAAACTAACAAAAATAATTTAGTAGTTAGACTACAGAATTTGTACTCTGTGTACCACATTCCTACAGAATTAAAGAAAAACACAGGATGTTCATTTAGCTAACCAATTTGGGTGACATCTGAGACTATGTCCCCCTCTGCTTTCTGTGGTTTAATTTGCAACGCTAGATTCTAACCAAAGTCAATCTTTTTTTCCTCCTATCAGCATTTTCCTGTAGCTCTAGCATTTATAATCTGACTTGCAATATCGTTATTTATGTCATTCTCAGCCCGAGAGTAAACTGCTTCAACCCATTTCCACAATGCTATAGATCACACACAGAGAACTCAGTTCCAAGCTTTCAGTTGAATAACTTTGTAGAAGGCAGCCCATTGAAAACATATTAACTTACAATTGAAAATTTTTACGTAACAGAAAGGAGTCCATTTAAAATCATGGTCAATAATAAATATATTCACAGGAATAATCATAGATTCGCATATTCATTCTCTGCCCCAAAACCTGCTTGAGGTTCTAAAAAAAAAAAAGGGAAAAAAATATAAAAGGCATGCTTTTGTCTCTTTCTTGCAGATGCTAATAAAGAAAACAAGTAACAAAGTGTAGGAGAAAACTGAGAGGTGAGGTATGTAAGATTACTTCCTCGTGGGAATATGAACTGGCAAGACAGGCTTCTCAGCCGGGATGATACGTGAATTGTTCTGAGGTGAGTCCAGACTGATGAGAAACATTTTGCCAAATAAACAGGGAATAAGGCCATTTCAGGAGCCCTGGTGGTGCAGTGGTTAAGAGCATGGCTGCTAGCCAAAAGGTCGGCAGTTCAAATCCACCAGCCGCTCCTTGGAATATTCCTGAATATTTGGTCTGAGAATATTCTTCTCAGAACAGATATGACAGTTGTGCTTGCAGGAAGAGAAAGTAACAATCCCTTGAATTGTACCAGTATCATTAGCTTTTTTTAAATTGGTTTCATTTATTTTTTAAGCAGCAGTGAGAACAATATACATATTTTTCTCTACGTAAGAGTAAATATTTCCAGATAGTACTACTAACATTTCCGCAAATGGAAGGTTTGAGTTTTCATAAGGGCACACCCCTAAGTATCTACATTTTCCGACAAAATGATGCCAACAATGAAATTCTTAGGAAGGGAGGTTCCTGTTTATGAGTTGCCCGTATTCTCTTCACAGACACTGAAAAATAGCCTCCCACTTTCTAAAAAACTTTACTACCTGATCAGGATTTCTGACCTTAGACTCTTCAAATATTCCATTCCAACAGTGTTTCTAAATCTGCCAAAAGTCTGGGGTAGTTAATCTGCCTTGACACATTTTTACTTATTTTTTTTTTTCAAGATTATTTTGTGCACAATATACATCTTTTTCTTTATTCTATCACTATGTGGTAGAGAGAAAGAAAGTCCTTATATCTTACCATTCCACAGATGATGGAAATTGAGGCATACCACAGATAAAATACGGGAGTAATAATACCAGTTACAGTTAATTTGGTCTACTTATCAGGCTAATATATCTTAGAGAGAGGAATTAGAACCAGCAATATAGTCTACGTGAAAAATTGTGTATGGTCCTAAAATGATGGATACATAAAAACAGTATATTTTCTTCTTTTGGCATGAGCTAGATTTTGACTCATATCAACACACTAGCCTGGATCATACTGCTTCTGAGTCTGTTTGCCTGGTTTTATTCATTAGGATTTCAAAGCAGAATTGACAAAAAATACCTTCAGCTTAAATCTTGGTTATTCCTACCACAGATCTTTGCCTTTGCCGTAACTTTTCTCAATTTGTTTGCTTTCTTTCCAGTCTCTTCAGTTATTCCAGCCACAAAATCTAGGTGTAAAATCCTACATTCACTTTCTTTCCTCAAGCCCACTCGTGCAATATATCATAGCACTGAAATCTCTAAGTCCAAAATATATGCTAAATATATGTACTCTGCCGTAGCTCTACTGCTACCACCCCACCCAAGCCACCCTTGCTTTGCTTACCATCTTGCAGTAGTTCTTTGGTTGTGATGGGTCCACTGAAATCTACAGCCCATTCTCCACACTGCGGTGATATTCTAAAATGCAAACCAGAGCACATTACCAATTCTCTGCATAAAACCTAGAGTTCTTAAAATAAAATCCAAACTCTATATAAGAGAGATCTCCAACATTTATTTTACCATTCTCCTTTTTTCTCACTACCGCCTTTCTTTCAGCTCTTCTAACCCTCCAACCTTGCAAAGATTATTGCTCAGTTTGATAATGTGCGTAAAAGGGTTTAGGTCAAATTAAAGAAAACACCTTTTGGTGTATGTTATACAAGCTGAAAATTCGAATTTTAAAGATGTATTTATGCACACTGATTCAGATTGATTGATCATGTGTTACTGCAGGGAAGTTAGGGCTTTAGGGACAATATATTGTTCCAGTTATTACATCAGTATGATAAACAATCCTAAACTTAGTGGCATAACACAACAACCATTTATTATGCTCATCATTTCTTTGGGTCAGGAATTTTAAAAGGGTTCAGTGGAGATGAATTGTCTTTGCTCTATGATATGCAGGTTCTCAGCTAGAAAGTCTTGAAGGTTGGGATTACTTGAGATCTGGAGATTGGAATAATCTGAAGGCTCATTTACTCACATGCTTGGTGTGTTGATGCCAGCTGTCAGCTGGAACCTCAGCTGGGCCTCTATGTGGCTGCTTGGGCTTCCTTACAGTATGGTGGCTATATGCCAAGAGTGAGTGAGCATCCTAAGAGAAACAGGCAGAATGTGTATGGCCGTTTTTAAATCTATCCCCAGAAGTCACATAGCATTGCTTCCACTCTAGTCACAAGTCTGCCCAGATTCAAGGGAAATAGGCACAGACCTCACCTATTAATGGGAAGGTTGTCAAAGTCACATGGTAAGAAGAGCACATGGTATGGAAGATATTGTTGCTATCATCTTTTGAAAATACAATTTTCCACACGTATTTGACCTTGAAACATGCTGCCAAAAAAGCAATAGAGCAACTGGCTGTAAATAACCACAAGTGTCAATGTCAAAGATTGAAAATTGGGATAATGGATCACCATCACTATTTATGCTATTGGATTTTTCACATTAGCTAGTTTAAAAGTCATGCTACTATTCAAAAAAATAAAATTCTTTATTTCAGTGGAGTAGGGTGATTTAATGTACCAAGAATTAATTTCAATAATGTCATTTAAAGTATAATTTATCATATTATTTACCAGACAATGCTTGTGACAGCTTAAGGTAAAAAAAACAAAAGACTGCAAACCCCCAAATAAAATATCAAAAAAAGAGGTAGGAAATCAATAGAAGAATATTTCAGAACTTGCTAAACTTGGCAAAGCTTCACTTCTCTAGACTATATTGTACTTTGATTTTTAATCACTCTGGGACAGAATTTTCAGGATGCCAATCCACAAAGACCAGCCAAAGCATTTTTCATACACGCCACATTCTTTATCAAAGACAATGTCCCAACTGTTCAGATATATTTTCCCCATTGCTTTCAAACTGTCCTGAACTGGCCTTGCTTGATGATTAGAAGCTTATAATAGAGAATAATTTACAGATGAAGAATTACATCCTCAAAGAGTTATGTATATATGGAACTTTAGATAATTAACTGATCAAGCATTAATTAAGAAATGAAATATTACTATGATACATAACAATTTTGAGAAGAGAAAAAATAGAAGATTAAATTTATTGGCAAGCATGTTCAAAATGAACTTCAGCAAGGACACATGGTAAAGATGCCGACACTATCAGATGACATAATTGAAGAGTGACTTTAGTACAACGTGAATTGTACAAAGCATGAAACTTCATTATCCGAGAAAATTGCTTGAGTGAGACATTCAGGTTTGTAACACTTAAAATGTTTATTTTGAACATATTCACTTTAAATGTAAGCTGGATGCTCACAATTCAATCTTGAAAATCTTGATAATTGGGGTCTTGCAATTCAAAAATTAAAATCTCAACTTGAAATGTGTAATGCAGAATTTATACCTCTGTAGTATTTTCCTCCGTAAATGATTCTCTTTATTTTATTAGCTACTTCGCAAAAGCCTATTCATCCCTCAAGGTCCAGCTCAAACATTTCCCCTTTTTTGTTTCCATAACACTAAGCTCTTTTACGACACTCCTCATATTTCACTCTATTTACTTGTGTAACCCGAGTTTCCTCATGCCTCACTAGCCATGGGTACAAATGGGGTCACATGAATGGTAATAACCAAAATTGCTTTAGGTTTTGCTCCATCCTGCTCAAGTAGTAACTCAGCACCCTCGGAATTGGTTGTCAAGTATTCCTAACAGCACACACGGTTCTTCCACGCGTACTTACAAGCTGATTCCACAGATGACATCCGCTGTCTCCCACCAGGCAGACACTATATACTGCTGTGTCCACTGGAGGTGTACCATCTCCTGTTGGGCACCATGGTCTCTTCTACTGCTCTGATGCAGCTACTCTAGAAAATAACTAGTACTAGACTGCGTATTTATGGTACCATGGGAGTGATGTACTCTGCAGACATGGGGAGAATTCTCATCTCCTCCATCCTGTTTTATGCCTTGTCACTTGGGACATGGACAGATCTGCATCTGTTCCCATGTCTCAATCGTTTTTCATGAAAATATGCTGGTGGCCTTTTTTCTCCATGGGGTTCAGATTCCATTCCATGGGGGTAGGTTCTCTTCCTTCCTCATCTCCTCACTCAAGGCAGGTAATGCTCTCCAGTCTCTTTTGTTCCGCTAAAACAACAAGACAAACATGTACCCTCATGCAGTTGCTCTTTCAAGCCACCTTCCACCCACTTCAGCTCTCCAACCAGCTCGTAGACATGGTGCGACATGATTAAATCTCATCGCTGTTGAAGGTACAGTGCGTGCAACACTGCTTCATACGTTTTCAGCCTCGGAAGATTGCAAGCCCTTGAGGACATGAACCAAAACTTATCCTTCTCTGCATTGAATCAGAAGCAGAAAATCAATTTAAACCAACTCTTACACCGATTCTTTAATTCTAAAGATAAGAAACTGATGTCTGTCAAGAACTATGAAGATTCTACCTTGCTTTCAAGCTGGTATGTTAGCCTCCCACAGTATTACTGAAACTGGCAGAAGTCACGAGACTCCTGGGTTGGAAACCTAGTATTCCATTTCCCACAACACAACAAGTGTGAGGTTCACGCCGAACATCGATTCTCCTTGTCCCACAGGGGCAATATGTTATGTCATAGGAGAGAAACACCAATACCTGAAAACTCAAATATTTTGTAATGAGTTGCAAGCACCTGCAGGACTTTTGCCTGGAGGAAAACATTATCTTTGCTGTACTGGAGAGTAAACAAATTTGCCCTCTGCTTTGGGGGAAGACACTATCTCTAACTTCAAAGGTGTTTTCTCTGCAAACTTCCTAGAAAAGATAATCTTTACAAGACTCAACAAAAGCCATCTGTGTCTCTGCTCACAAGAGGTCCGGAGAATCACCTCGCAGAAGGATCAAGAACGGAAGTCACTTCCTCATGTTAGTAAAGATCAGGATCAGAACTCGGGACACTTGGCACATGATCCAGTAATTTCTCCAAGTGAAACAGTAAGAGAAAAGGTATAGCATAGTATTAGTTCAGTTTCATCGATTAACACTGCTAAAGACAAGTAAGTACTCTCCAGAATATATTTTAAAAGTTCTATCACTAGGTCCCTGGGTGGCGCAAACAGCTTGCACTTGAGGACTAACCTAAAGGTTGGCAGTTTGAACCCACCCAGAGGTACTGTGGAAGAAAGGCCTAGTGATCTGCTTCCATGAAGATTACAGCCAAGAAAATCCTATTGGGTAGTTCTACTCCATAACATGTGGGATTGCCATGAGTTGGAATCGACTTAATGGCAACGGGTTTGCTTCTTCTTCTTCTTTTTTTAATTGCTGTGGAAATCCACATCTCATAATAAATACTGTGATATTAATTTTAAATTCCAACTCCTTTTTAAAACTGGTTGATGCTGTGTTGCTGTTGCTGTGTGGTGTTGAGTTGATTCTGACTCATAGCAATCCTATAGGACAGAGTAGAACTGCCCTATAGACTTTTGTAGCTTGTAATCTTTATGGAACAGATTGCCAGATCTTTTCTCTCATGAGCTGCAGGTAGGTTCGAACCACTGACCTTTCAGTTAACAGCTGAGTGCTTAACCACTGTGCCACCAGGGCTCCTTTAAAGGGTTGATATACTGACAAAATTTAAAACAAAAAACCAGGGAGTTAACAGCAAAGACAAATATTGCCTCACCCCTACTTGTGTAGGCTAGGACTTAAAAAAGACCTAGCTTTAAATCATCAAATCAGTGTTTACTAGAATTTATAGACCTTATTCAGAGATTTTCACATGTAGACTGTGATATTTCTAAATCCTGGGACCTGAGAGCCTCAGATCTATTTTTCTGCAACTATATTCTAGAAAGAAACTGTTAGAACCCAACACAAGCTCGTTAATTGAGGAGGTCATATTTTATAAAGTGTCTGGAAAAAAAAGCATGCACCAAAGTTAAACAGCAGATATGACTGTGAACAACACACTCTTCTTGGGAGAGTTATTGAGCTTGTTCAGAAGCCCTGGTGGCGCGGTGGTTAATCACTCAGCCGCTAACCGCAAGGTCGGTGGTTCAAACCACCAGTCCCCCTGTGGGAGAAAGATGTGGCAGTCTGCTTCTGTGAAGATTTACAGTCTTGGAAACCCTATGGGGCAGTTCTACTCTGTCCGACGGGGCTGCTATGAGTCGGAATTGACTCAGTGGCAATGGATTTGGCTTTTATTCAGTTTGCTATTGGGTGTGGTCTCAATATTTTATTGTATGAGAATTAAAAAAAAAAAAGAAAATTGACCCGGTCACCAAGATTTCCTTGTTGTTAACTCATATGTCCCAATGCAAGGAAATTTTTTTTAAAATTTACTTTAGATGAAGGTTTACAGAACAAACTAGCTTCTCATTAAACAGTTAGTACACATATTGTTTTATGACATTGGTTAACAACCCCATGACCTGTCAACGCTCCCCCGTCTCGACCTTGGGTTCCCCATTACCATCTTGCAAGGAACCATTTCATGATGACTCAGTATCCTCTTTTCCTTAGATTGTATTCTCCCAGATACTTTCCATTGTCAGTCTCTGTATGGAATCCAAACAATGAATAACTAAGTAAGTACAGTCAGTGGATGCCTGCAGGTATATTGGAAAAATGACGGACTGAGAATAAAGAGTTGTGGAATCAATTCCCTGTTCTCCCTTTTGTCCAGTAAATGATCCTGGACAGATTAAAGGACAAAAACAAGACAGTCAGCCACTTTTCCTGTATAAACTACTAATTTTAACCAAAAAGTTGATGAGGGTTAAAGGTTAAGAGTTAATGATCATAGTAAATGACACCACGAGATGTAATTAAAAAATATGGACTGTAGGATGCTCTGTAGAATGGAAAACTTGCTTGGTTTTCAACAAATAATTTGCAAAGAGAAAGAGAGAGAGAGGAGAGGAGAGAAGAGAGAGAAGAAAGAAATTAAGAGACATATTAGCTAATTGCAATGTATGGTCCTTACTTGGGTCTCAAAAAGACAAACTAAACATTTTAATGAATCCATTGGGAAGTTTGACCGAATTAACAAATTATTGTTGTTTTTAAGATATAATTATGGTATTGTGGTTATGTGTAAAAGAGTATTTGTTTTTAGATAGACAAACTGAAATGTTTGCAGGTAAATGATGTGATATCTGGGATTTGCTTCCAAAGAATACAATTCACCATTAACTGCGCATCTAATTACAAATGTCTCAGGCTGCCTTCTGCTTTTTCAATCCACTGACTTGGACACAATAAAGAAGGGA